ATTAAAATTAAAATCAAAATACTTTTGAATATCTTATTTATGTTGATAATATTATATAAACTACAAATTTTTGTTAAAAAATATTTGCTTTTTTTTATTATTATATATTGATAGATCTATTAGTAAATTCTAGTATACTTTGATACTAACTAATTTTGTTAGTATTAAAATTTAATTATGTCAATTTGATATTAATTATATCTGTCAAAATACAATTTATCTATCAAAATATAATTTAATTAGTAATTCATCAATTTGCACTAAAGTATAATTTCTAGATTTTAATAATATTAATATTTTTAATATTAAAAAAATAAAATTATTAAAATTTTATATATTTTTAAAAAAAAATTTTTAAAATAGATTTAATAAAAGTACTTTTTTCTTTAATAGTATTATTTTATTAAAATAAATCTTTATGTATTTAAATATAATTTATACATTTATCTTTATTTTTTTATAAAAGATTTTTAATAAAAAATTATTATATTAGAATTTAATATATATTAAAATCATAAAATTTGATTTAATACTTTATACTAATTATAAATTATTTAATATAAAATAAAATTATTTAAATTATTATATTTTAATTATTTTGTTTTAACAAATATTGTTTATCATTATTCAATTTCTTAATTAAATTAAAATATATATTATAGAATTTAATAAAAATAGAATAAATTTCTAAAATTTACAATATAAATTTAATGGATTTTAGTTAAAATTAATAATAAATCAATAAAAATATCTTTATATTTACTAGTAATAATTATATATATACATTAAGATCAAAATATAACAAATGATAAAATTATGTTTTATAAAGAAAATTTTTTTTTGATTTTTTTTTTTAAAAAAAAAATTTATAATTGCTTTTTGAATTTGAATATGATATTTAATATTATAAATAAAGGATAATAAATAATTTATATTAAATTTTATAATAATAATAAAACTACTAAATATTATATAATATAAAAAATTTTATTAATATAAACTAAATTTTATAATTAAAATAAAAATTTTTTTTAAAATCAATATATATTAATTTTTAAAATTTTAAATAACTTATTATCTAATAATAAAAAATATAATTTAGCTTGTTAAATTTATTTCATTGAGATTTATTAAAATAATAATATTTTTATATTTTTGAGATCAATAGATAATAAGAAATATAAGTTTAAAAATTTAATTTATATTTATAATAAATGATTATATTTACCTTTAAGATTATTAGATAATTATATTTTTTTTTAATTTTATTTAAAAAAATATAAAACTATTATAAAAATTTTTTTAAAAATTTTTTTAAATATTTAAAATAATTAAATCCTTAAAATAAAATTATAAGCAAATTTATTTACAATATCAATAAAAGATAATTAAAATAATTTATTACATAATTTTATCGTATAATCTCAAAATAAGCATTATATAATATATATGAAATTATTAGTATATATGTGATTAATAATATAATAAATTTCATGTGACAAATAAATAAATTACTATAAAAGAAGTGTGTTATAGGATGCTTATTTTCAGGATTATACGGTATTTATTAATTAAAATTAATTTTAAATATATAGGTACTTTATAGTAAAAAAAGAGGAAAGTTTTAAAAAAATTAGTTTTATTGTAATTTCTTTTTTTCTACTGTAAAATGTCTATATTAAAATTATATTAATTATTAATTTAATATTAAATCAATCTTCTGTAAATATAAAACTAAAAAAAGTATAATATTTAGTATCTTTAATTATTATTATTTTATTGATATTTATTAAATAATACTTTCTAAAATCAGAGATTTCATTAGTTAAAGAATATGTGAGCAAATAGAGAATGCAAAATTCACGTGACTAAAAAATTTTTCATAGCGCATAAATGTATATTATCTTTAGACAATTAAAAAAATATATGCAGTATACTTAATTCTCTTTACTTTAGAATTTGACTTGAATATTATTAGCTAAGGACCTTCCTTATATAAAGTTATAGGTAAAGGAAAGTAAAGTCTCTTTGAAAAACATATTAAATAATATCAAATCATAATATCAGCGCAAATTGAATATCTAAATTTAATCATATCAAAATATTAAGATACATGATTTTATTATTTTAGCTAAATTTAAAAAACTTGATCTTATTTTTTATAATATAACTTTATGTATAAAATATTATTAGTTTGGATCATATTTTCATATGTATCAATAAAATAATATTTCAAAATTTTTATTATATAAACATTTATCAACATTAAAAAATTTTGTTTAAATTAATTTGTGTAATCTAATAATAAGTTTTCTGTATATGTTAAATGAGCAAAATATGTTAAATTTAATTTATGACATTAAATATCAAGTCATCCTAAATTTTAAGATTTAAAATAAGAACGCTTATTACCAAGTAAATGTCCTGAAAAAATTATAATCACATTAGCATAATCTTTAACAATTAAACTATCATTTTAATTTAATAAGTGATTTATTATCAAAGGGCAATTTACATGTTCTTATACTTATTACAAAAATTTGAGTTAATTTATTTTCATAAATATAATTGATATATTATTACATTTATATTGTCATATTTGACTCTATAATTAAAATATCATATAAAATTACACTGTCCTAGCAATCTTAAATGAATTTTGAATACCACTTCCATGCTTTATTATATCTTACTTTACATTTTGACCATATTAAAATAATCTCCTATATGAGAAAATGCTTCAGCAAATCCTTCTTCAGTGAATTTTAAATACCAGCTGAATTACACCTCTAAATTTATATCTATTTCTATACATACTGATAGAAATGTCTTAAAAAAACATTGTATATCACTGTTTTCTTGCTCTGCAAAAAGAAGATACCATCCAAATACTTACTTTTAAAATAAAATAATTTTTCCATAATATAATGTGCTTTTGTATTTCTATTGTTTGTAAATTTTAAATAACATTATATCGCTTCTTTTTTATTTACATCAGTTTCTATACTATATTTATAACAATTTTCTAATATTAATTACGCTTCTTTATTACTTTCTTCTGCAAAATTAATATACTATTCAAATGCTTTTATTTCATTTTTTTGTTTTTATTCTAAATTTATAACATTGGGCTGTGAAGTATTATGCTTTGATATTTCTCTACTAACAGAAATATAATACTATTTAAAGGTATTTTATTTGTCTTCATCAGTTCCTTTTTCATTTAGATAAAATCTTCATGTGATATATTACGCTAAGCAATAACCTTCTTTAGTATTTCAGATATATTCAAATGCTTTATTTAAATTTATCTTTATTTCTTTACTATAATGATAACAACATGATAAATTGTACTATGCATAAGGGTCACCATCTTCTATCTTCATGAAATTGTCAACACATCCACACCATAATTCATCTAATACCTTGCATTCATTCATTATTTTATTTTCATAAAATATGATCAATAAAATTTTATTATTTTGTGAATACCATGATTCGATGTGGTCTTTTGATTGGATGTTTGCTATGCAGTTAAATAGTGTTTCTGCTTTCTTTCTATTTCCCATCTGAAATTATAGAAGATGCCTATTAGATTACTGAATTTACATTATTTATATGAGCGCTTTTCCATTAGTTGAATAATGTTGCTGAATTTATGTTTTTAAACTCAAAGGAAATTTATCCATTTGAGAATCATAGGTGTAATGTCTTCATTGGCTTTGATCTCGTAAGCTTTTAAAAGTTTTTGATGAAAGTCTGCAAGAATTAGTTCTAAAAAACCTTCAGACATTTTTATTTATTTAAATTTTTTTAAAAGAGAATAAAAGAGTTCAAAATTTGTTATGTAGAAGGAAAAGGAATTTAAAGTGTGTTATGTAGAAGGATCAAAGAATTTTTCGCGTCTTTATAGAGTTGACTTTGCATGTAAAAATGACAAAAATTCCAAATTTAGATAACTTTTCTTTTTACAAAATTGATGAATTGCATATTAATTAAAAAATTTTTTTTTGTTATGTCGTGTATTTACCGATTTTTTTGTTAATGATCCAAAAAAGGTGAACACAAAGATTAGTATGTGAACCGCAGTATGTCCGAAAAACACTATATCTTCATGAACTATAGATAGTATTGAAATGAATCTAGTATATAAATTCATAGTTTGCTAGCGGATAACAATTTAAAGGCAAATTTTGATGTAAAAAAAAGAAGGCATGTATAAAAAACAATAATAAAATTTGAATTAAAGATGGTTGAGAATAAAAAAGATTTTTATGATTGACAATCGTGGTCATTGAATAAGAATCCTTATTACCTTTTAAATGTGGTGTTTCTAATAAAATAGTGTAACAAACATTTGGTCCTTACGTAAGTCGTGACTAATTTGATAGTCTAACATAAGAAGCTTAATGAAAACAAAGTTCCAGCGCACAACTGGCTTGTTTTAGAACTTTATGATGAATGAAACATTAAAGGGGTCTTATAATGCAATCAATGATGTATTATTTTACCGTGAGATTTTTTTTTCAACATTTTGAAAACTTGATTCTTTTATTTGGGTTTAATATATTTCATTGATTAGCGGTTAACGGCATTATCATTCCGATCTTGCTTCTATATGAAATCATCTCATTTTATTTTATTTTATTTTTATGTGTTTGGGGAATATTGTTCATAAAAGGTCAAATATTTGAAAACTTGATTCTTTTATTTGGGTTTAAGATTTCATTGATTAGCTTTTATGCGAAATTATAATTTTTATTTTATTTTATTGGGGGTTTCTCCTTAGTATTGTTCATAAAGAGTCAATATTTTTCTTTTATTTGGGTTCAATTTCGTTGATTACCGGTTAACGGTATTTATCATTTCGAACATGCTTCTATGCGAAACCATCTCAATTTATTTATTTGATTACTTATTTGGATTTCTCCTTAGCATTGTTCATAAAAGGAAATAGCGTAAACTTATCTATTTCGATGGACTTGGAAGTTATTTATCTATTACTCAAGTATGATTGGTTCGTATGGTTGGCCCTTCGTGATCCTTTTCACTATTCTGAATTCTGTAGTTGACTTTAAAGCAAACTGATCAAGCCAAGTCTTAAAGCCCAAATTTGTAAAGGATAGTCCATCAATTCCAAAGGGTCCAACGTCTGTCGAGAACTGTTCAAACATCTGATATCAATAAAAGCAATGTTAACGATTGCAGTGAATATAATTTCAGCCACATATTTGCTGCGCAATGTGCAGAAAAGCATCGAGTGTTCACGCAAAAATAAAAAATCAAAAATTTTAGTGATATTTCTAACGTTAAGCCTGTCGCATACTTTTTTTTAAAAAAAGAAATGATTAGTTAACCTGTTAAAATTTTTATCAGTTTTTTCACCTATTATGTATTATAAAATTCCATCTTGCAACATGTGAATAGAATTCGCTATGTGATTTAATCAAAAAGTTAATAAACATTGCTTACATTCACTGATCTTTGAAAATTCTTTTCACTCTTATCTTGCAGATCATCCGAATTTATTTGGACAATAAAATTGTTTAATTGCTGGCGCGTTATATTATTATTTTTTTTTTACATTCACAAGCTTATCTGCGGATAACAATTCTAATGCATGTTATGTACCATGAGAAAAAAATATATACAGCATATGAAAAAATTGGGAAAAACAAAAATGATTTATCATCCTGATATTTATGCAGTGTAAATATCCTAGCATATAAATGAAATAGTTTATTTCAATGATGAGCATTGTGTAACTCGTGTAACTCGTATCTCACAATCTGGCGGTCGAGACATCGGTATATATGGTGATGTCGTTCGCGACTAATTAAACCTGATTATGAAGTAGTCTAGCATGAGAAAATACTTAAAGTTCCGGTGTACAACTGATTTGTTTTGAAAAAACTTATGAATGAGTTCATATGATTTTGATAAATACGGAACTTAATGTCATTTGAATTTAGTAATGCAAATAATCTATGATGTATTTTATTGTAAATTTTTTCTCAATAGAAATCAATTACCTTGAAAACTTGATGTTTTTATTGTGTCAATATTTAAGTGCATAACAATTAATAATGATTACGGTATTTATGGCAATTTCTTCATAAACATTAATAATCATGTTTATATTTAAAATTTTTTTTTTTGATTGTTTGGGGTTTTATCTTAGTATTGTTCAATAAATGATACATTGAAGCTGACTATGAAATGCATGTTTCAGTTTCAAAATGAGTTAATCTTTTTTATCAAAAAAAAAAAAAAATTATTTGTGTATATTTTTAAATTAAAGTATAATATCAATACAATATAATTAACGGATCTCTTCTCACATATCCAACCGATGGCTGAAAATCAACAAATAAGAAAGTTCATCGCTTTACGCTCATTTGGTTTAAAAATGGGAAATTCGTTATATCAAAATGTTGCAAACAGACCTTTTATTAGATTTTAGACATTATTAAACATACCATATATAATATAATATAATTAACATAAACGATGGCTGAAAACCAATAAACAAGAAGTTCAACGTTCTCCGCTCATTATATTTACAAGTTGTCTCAAGATTTTATTGTTATTTTAAACAGACCATTAGATAAGAATTTCAGATTTTCATATACATACATATTAAATTAAACTTTTTAACACGATAAAATTAGTCGTTAAATTTGGTACCACTCACAAAAATAAAATAGAAATAAAAATAAAAGTTCTATTTAAAAAAAGCAACTAATCTACCAAACATCTAACAGTGACACTAAGTAGTTTATCTTTATTGTTGGTGAAAAGTAAAAAGTAATAAAATTATTACATTGAACCCAAAGAGAACTTTACCAAATGAACTTCCGAAACAGTTTAGCTCACATCTATAAAAGAGACAATTCGATAAATAAGTTCAAATGTATTTTTACAGTACTTTTGGTATATAACTCCAATAATGGTCATAAGGATTTTTTATTTTATTAGTTTTAATAAAAAAGGAGGACAACGGGATCGAACAGCTGAGCGATACGATGATCTCAAATTTACATTTTAAAAATTCACAAACTTTGCCTGCGGATAAGAACTTTTCATGCATGAATTGTGCCATGAGAAAAAAAAAAATATTAAAGGGTGGTTCCTTTTTTTATCGAATCCGTTTAATAATTGAATAATCAACTCGCTAATTATTAAAAAAAAAAAATTGTACACCGTACGGTTTCCTTTTTTGGAAATGAATTTCATAGGATTTAACGCGAAATAATTAAAAGCTGAAAGTATACTTATTGGCATGTTGTGAGATAAACAATTCCAGCTTTTTTATTGGAAACGTTATTTACTTTTTAGTCATCTAAAATAGTAATTAGTGTAATATTCTTTCTCAAATAGTTATTTGATTCAAGCAATCATTATGTATTTACGGAAATTTCTTCATTCATGACCAAATATTTATCACGAGTATATAAATTATGTATATATATATATATTTATTTCGTTTGATAAGGGGGACTTATTATTAGTTATAAAAGGGTATATTACAAACTGACATGAAATGAAAGTTTTTACCCATGACCGGACTCCGAACTCAAAAATCAAATTGATCATTTTATTCTATATATTGAATAACTTTTGTTGTATAAATTTATTAACGTTATTATAAAAATATATGTTCGGCGTATATTTATTTTTAAATTGGGATGTGTATTATAGATTAACAAGTTGCTTTCCATTTTAAAAATGGTAAGTTCGCAATGAAATATTTTGTGTGATAAATTTGGCGCGCACCATGAAATCGTGGAATCTCCAAAAAATTTTTAAAAAAGGAGAAATCAATAGTTCAAATGAGCCCTTTAACGCTGGATTTCGATCCACAATCTTTAATCAATTATTCGTTCTCATCTTTACGCGTTAAACTTATCATGAATTCGGTAGGTCATAAGACTAAAACGGATGGTTTTCATATAAAGTATTTTATATTACAAAAACGCCAATAAATCACTCTACAATACCTTTTTAATTCATTAAATTAAAGTGCAAAAAAAATACTAATTAAACCGATTTAAAGTAAAATAAAATATAGTAATTCGCACAAACCTACTCCACGATCGAATCTGCCGGCCAAGTGAGAGATTCTAAAAAAATAAAAAGTATAATATAAATAATTTTTTTCTAGTTCTTTACCGTTCGTGAAAGGAATTATCTTTACTAATGCTGGATTAAATTTTATTTAACAGAGCTGACCAAAAAATTATTAAAAAAAGGTTTATTATTTTGTTTTATTTAAAATTTTATTAATAGTATTTTTTTATAAAGTAATATATCACATTGTTTGATTTTCATATCATTCGAGTTTAGAGGCTGCGCACAGAATACTATCACATGGATGTTTTGATACTGAACTCGGTAAAACACACGCAGAAAAATTTTATCATATTTTTCATAACAGCCACAGCATCACTTGTATTTCTAATAAAAAATAAAGCTTCGTATTACTATTCCAGGTATCTGTAATTTATCATATTTATTTTTTTTCATGAAGTTGTGACCAGGCCATTATTGTTTTTAACACAAAACGTCATGATGTCATTTGCGTATTTAAAACCCAATTACCAAATTCACGCACGTGATTACCCGATGTCTGTTGGCCAAAATTAAAACCCTAAAAAATCTTCGAAATAATTACAGCTTTTAAAAAATTTCTTACCTTCACAATACTTGCTTGTACACTATAGAGTCTATTCAGTAAGACCCTTGCGAAGTTTATGCTGTTCGTGCTGTTAAGCAAGTGCTGGCAATTTCTTTTGACATTCCGTAGATTTATGACTGAAAGATATAGACATGAAGGTAATGGATTAAATTGAATAAATTCTAATTTCTCTTTTTAGTTTATTGACATGTATATTCTTAATTTCCGAACTTTATATAATTTAGTTTTAAATAAATAGAAGAAGAAAATTCTTTATGCAAGTTTAATTATTTCACTATGGGATTGGAGCTGAAATTACGAAATTTGTTTTATTTAAATAAGATTATATCGTCCTTGATCGGATCCTGAATCTATAGCCGTATTAAAACAAATTGACTCGTGCAACTAAACGGGCCCATATTTAGATATTGTATCAGTTTTTCAGAACCGTAATTATAATTACTTTATTACAAGGTGTTATAGAAAAAAATTTAATTGATATAGTTATAGCTCTTTTGAAAATTCAATTCAAATGTTCCTCGTCGCGTCGTCATCTTGGTAAAGAGACTTTTGAAATCACAATCAGAAATAATGGTGGGAAAAGGTATTATAAATGCAAATTTTGCTGAGATTATACATTGCTCAAAATCGACAATTTAAAGGCTTAAAATTTGCACAGGAATTTGGATTGGTGTTAGATTTTAACGTCATTGGCCTGTTGCTTGGTACTTTATGAGAGAGAGGCCTAGGTGCTTATCTCGTAGTTTTATCGAGGAACAACATGGTTTGTGCGTATTTTTATTTTTTTTTATTGATATTATTTTGCAAGATGTAATTTAATAAATTTGATCAATTGTAAATACATGGATCTAGTGTTATGTATCGTTTAAAATAATTCTATCATGGTTATTCACGAATCATTATCAAAATGGCTTTGCATAAGGATGATGCTTTCAAAGAAGTTTGATCAAGTTGTAGAAATTTTGTCAGAATCTCCAAACATTTCGAACTCTTTCAACTCTGACAATTATTTGTTAAACCAGCTCAATGGTTAATTACTATAATTTTGAAAGTAAGTTTCAATTATAAATTTTTTTTAGTATTTGATTAATACGTAGTAATATTTTATTTTTTTAAATAAAAAAAAATTTAGTTCGGATGCATTAACTTATGACATTAGAAATCCTGACGTTCCTCGTGTAATTACTTTTGGAATATGTTAACTATAGAATCAAATGTTATTTAAGAGGGTCAATGCAGAAGGTTTAGAAGTTAATTCAATAAATGCATTATCTGAACAAGATATTAAATTAATCAAATTTCACGGATTCATCAACAAGATGATCGTGATGAAAGGAAAGCTAAGGTTTGGAAAATTTATGGACTCATCAATGCTTAGCATGGATGAAATCAGAGAAATACATTGTTGAAACTATCAATTGGTACAAACGTAGTTGCGTTATTAGGCTAGTCTAATTTGGTTATTGATCAATTACAAATTATCATGGATATTATATAATACTTCATGATCCCGCTTATCCACTGGATCGTCAAAATATTCCCCTATTGGTTGCTTGCTGTATTACATGAAATAATTCTGATTAAACCATAGGAACTCGTAAAAGTACATTTTATCCAAAATTCTAAATTAATAGAGAAATTCCTACATTAGAAAATTTAGACAATTGATGTTAATGAGGTTGGCGGTGGCGATGAGCTATATTCAGTTTGAGATTGTACTGCAATTGAGCTGTAATCATTGGACCAGATAGCATTGGAATTTTAAGTTTTTTCAATGAAAGTATCAGCTCATGAAGCAGCTTTTGATGATAGTTCTAGTGATATGACAGTTGTTTATGGTGATAAGTCGGACGGTAGTAATGATAGTAATTAGTGGTTTGGTCATTTTTTATTGATGGTGAAGTGTTATTGGGTGGTACTAATTGCGTTGGTGGTGGTTCGGTTGGTCATTTTTTCATTGAATTTAATATTCATTTTCTGCCAAAATTAATATGAATAAATTGAAACGCACCGAAATTCAAAGAAAGTATTGTTTCAATTTATATGTTACGACGTTACTAATACATGTATCACAAAACATTACAATATTTATTCGTAATTCATATTTTAACATTATTTAAGCAGAAACGAAAGGAATAAGGATACTAAAGACAAATTCGATTTTGCTTTGATCAACAAACTAATACAAAAAATTCTTGAATATTCTAGCGACATTAAATAACAAAACTTTCCTCCTCTTGCAATGTTCTTTTACCTTCAACCTTTACGCCAGTGGTTGTACATTTCCATGACCCAATATATAAAAGTCTAATCGCTTACCTATAATAAATTTTATGAATAAGGAAATGAACTTTGAGATCGATAAGTTACTATAATTATTAAATGTGAAAAGAATTATTAATTAGTAATTTATAAAACTATCATATTTCCTAAAG